ACTCGCCGCCAGGAAGAGGGCGGGCTCTCATGACGAGACTCCGGGGAGGGGGCAGGCGTTCATTGATAAAAACTCCGGCTCCCTCAGGCGCGAGTCCAGCGTAGCAAATCCAGGCAGCGCCACGCACCGCCCCGGCCGGGCGGAACCGAGAACGAGCCCGGCCCGCGCTGCGACGCACAGTCCGCATGGAGCCCGCGGCTGGCGTCCTGTCTCCGCGCCCCTTCCAGCGTGCGGCCTCTCCGCCGGCGCCCCCAGCCGGGCCCGGGCCGCCTCCTAGTGCCATGCCCGGACTTGAACTGGAGACGCTGGCGGGGCCGCCGGCACCAGACCCCGGGCGCCTTATCACGGACCCAGGCAGCGGCCGCACCTACTTCAAAGGCCGCCTGTTGGGCAAGGTGAGCGGGGGTAGTGTTAGCGAGGGTGAAGCGGGGCCGTTGCCGTCCTCTTTGCCCGCGCCGGGCGCGATGGGGGCGCTTGGGACCTCTGCGGGCCAGATCCGGCCTCTCTTGGAGCACCATGCCTGATGCCCCCTCCTCATAGGGGGGTTTTGCCCGTTGCTACGAAGCCACTGACACAGAGACCGGCAACGCCTACGCCGTCAAAGTCATCTCGCAGAGCCGCATCACCAAGCCGCATCAGCGCGAGAAGGTGGGCCTGGGCCCAGGCCCAGTAGACAAGGGGTGGCTTGGGGACTGTGGCGTGGGAGCCCTTGAAGGATGACAACCTCAAACCCCTATTGCAGATCCTAAATGAGATTGAGCTGCACCGCGGCCTGCAGCACCGCCACATCGTGCGTTTTTCGCACCACTTTGAGGATGCTGACAACATATACATTTTCTTGGAGCTCTGCAGCCGGAAGGTGAGGGGTGGTAATGCGAAGTGAGGGTAAAGGGGCCTTAAGATCCAAAGGGGGAGATCCTGCCTCTCCTTCATCCAGCCCAGGTGGTGGGAGGGCCTGGGAGGGTAAACGAGGGACTGAGACAGTGGCTCTCTGTAGTCTCTGGCCCACATCTGGAAGGCCCGGCACACCCTGTTGGAGCCAGAGGTGCGCTACTACCTGCGACAGATCCTTTCAGGACTCAAATACTTGCACCAGCGAGGCATCTTGCACCGAGATCTCAAGCTGGGTGAGACTTCTGGGCCCGCATGTTGGGGTGGGGGTGGGGGTGGGGGTGGGGATAAAGAGAGGAAGGAGTCTGACGCACCTCTCTGCCCCGTCCAGGAAATTTCTTTATCACTGAGAACATGGAACTGAAGATGGGGGATTTTGGGCTGGCCGCCCGGTTGGAGCCCCCAGAGCGTAGGAAGAAGTGAGTGTTTAAGGTGGGGGTGGGGTGGGGGTTGGCCACAGTCTGTGTGAGATACACATGACGTGCGCGGCAGACAGTATGTGGGAAGCGCGATGACTGCTGTGTGTGATAGATGGGCAGGGAATGATGGGCTGTCTGTGTATGGAGGTGGATGTGGCAGCCCGGGTCACGGGGACTGGTGGAGAGGCTGAGGTTCCTGAGGGTGTCTGAGCCCTCAAGACAGGTGGGGGTCTAAGGGTTCTTGGAGGCATATGACCAATCTTGTGTGTGGATGGGGGAAGGTGACATAAGCACTGTGTGTATGAGACAGACCGAGCATGTGGGAATGGCAGGTCATAACACCCTGTGTGTGTGTAAGAAGACCCTGCATGGCTGTGAGTGACACAGACAGCATGTGTGGCAGACGAGTGTTTATGGGGGAGCGACAGCTGCTGTTGAAGTGTGTATGTGGCACAGACCATAGGAGGCGGCGGCCTGGGTGGGTGTCTGGCAGACGGGAGTAGAGGAAGGGATCAGTGGTGGACCCTCACTGCCCGTGGAGGAGGAGACTGGGTTGGGGGCCAGGGCCTCTCCCTATCCTACAGAGCAGCTGAGCAGCTGGGCCAGGCGGGTGGGTGGGGACTCAGCTGCCATCCCCAGCGTCCATTGTCCCAGGACAAGCAGGAGTTCTCTGGCCCTTGGTGACAGGCAGCTGCTTTGTCTGGACTCACAGTGGGGGCAGGGACAGGGCTGGGGGGGGCTAGCTGGGCTGGGTCTGAGCCTTCCCTTCTCCTCCCTACCTCTTTCTAGGACCATCTGTGGCACCCCTAACTATGTGGCTCCAGAAGTGCTGCAGAGGCAGGGCCACGGCCCAGAGGCAGATGTGTGGTCCCTGGGCTGTGTCATGTGAGTCCCCAGTCATCTGCACACAGATGGGTGCGTGGGTGGGGCATACCTTCCACGTTATCCCTGAGCCCTTATCTCTGCCCCGCAGGTACACGCTGCTGTGTGGGAGCCCCCCCTTTGAGACAGTCGACCTGAAGGAGACATACCGCTGCATCAAACAGGTTCACTACACGCTCCCTGCCAGCCTCTCGCTTCCTGCCCGGCAGCTCCTGGCAGCCATCCTTCGAGCCTCGCCCCAGGACCGCCCCTCAATTGACCAGATCCTGCGCCATGACTTCTTTACTAAGGTCTGTGGCTTACCACACACCTGAGTCCCGTTTGCACATCCCTGGGTGACTGAATGGGGGCAGGTGGGGGGCCCCTGGGGCCTCTCTTCTGCTCACATGGCTCTACTCCTCAGGGCTACACCCCCGACCGGCTCCCTGTCAACAGCTGCGTGACAGTCCCAGACCTGACACCCCATAACCCAGCCAGGATTCTGTTTGTCAAAGTTACCAAGAGCCTCTTTGGCAGGAAGAAGAACAAAAGTGAGTTTGGGATGCCGGTGGTTTTGAGGGTACAGAGTGGCAGTGGGGGGCTTGTTCCATACACATACCTTGTGGAGGTGTGAGTGTGAGTGCCTGTGAGCCCCTGGGGAGAACGTGTGTTACACAGGCACTTACGTGTGCCAATCTGCATCATCCGTGTGGGAAGCAGGATTCTGAGGGTTATGTCTGCCCCGATCCAGATAAAAACCAACCCGAGGAGCGGGATGAGGTTTCCTGTTTGGTGAGTGGCCTCACCCGGACGTCCATCGGCCCTCAGGATGCCAGGCCTGAGGTGAGGTGCTCACATAAGCGGTGTTCCCCTGACTCACCCCCATCCCAGCAGCTGTGGGAAGCTCGGGATAAAAGAGCCTGGCGAAGCATCTAGCCCTGTGGCAGCCTAATTGGCTGTGTCTCATTAGCCAGGCAGGGGTGACCTGGGGTGACCTGGGGTGCCCTGGGTGCCTGGGCAGGGCTGGGCCATGGGCTCTCAAGGGTTTGGATTTCGGGGCCTGTCTCACTCTCCTGCCCTACCCAACCATCCAGGCTCCAGCAGCTTCCGGTCCAGCCCCCCTCAGCCTGGCAGAGACAGCACCTGAAGACAGCTCACCCCGTGGGACACTGGCGAGTAGCGGAGATGGTGAGCAGCCAGGAATATGAGAGGTGCTAGAGGTTGCTGGGGCTCAGACCAGGGACCAGAGGGAAGGAGAGGCAGAAGGACATGGCCTGTTCCTAGGGGACTAATGCCTAGTTCTGAGTAGCCTGTTCCCTTTAGGGTTTGAAGAAGGTCTGACTGTGGCCACCGTGGTGGAGTCAGCCCTGTGTGCCCTGAGAAACTGCCTGGCCTTCATGCCTCCAGGTAAGGCTGGGGTCTGGTATGAGTGAATAGTGGTGGGAATTCTTGGCTGGAGACCAGGGACAGGTCCTTACTCTCGCCTCTCCTATGGCAGCGGAACAGAACCCAGCTCCCCTGGCGCAGCCAGAGCCTCTGGTGTGGGTCAGCAAGTGGGTTGACTACTCAAACAAGTTCGGCTTTGGGTACCAGCTGTCTAGCCGCCGCGTGGCTGTGCTCTTCAACAACGGCACACACATGGCCCTGTCGGCCAATAGAAAGTAAGTGCTGTTATGGGGTGCCTTGCCTCCAGGCCATTGTACCTAATGGGGGTGCATCTTGGTGTGCTCTCCTGGCTCGGGACCGGGGGTCTCCCAGGGGAGGGGCCTCAGTGCAGGGCTCGCTCTGACCGCTGCCTGCTCTCCTCCAGGACTGTGCATTACAACCCCACCAGCACAAAGCACTTCTCCTTCTCTGTGGGTGCCGTGCCTCGGGCCCTGAAGCCTCAGTTGGGTGTTTTGCGGTATTTCGCTTCCTACATGGAGCAGCGCCTCATGAAGGTGTGTGCATCAAGGACTAGCACACCCTAGTCCCTTCCGGTTCCCCTTGGTGGAGGGGCGCGAACCTGAAGGCTGAACCTCTAAGGGAAATGTCAATGTGAGGGGCCTGACCCGTGTCAGACAAGTGACTTGTCCCTGCTCCCAGGGTGGAGACCTGCCCAGTGTGGAAGAAGTGGAGGTACCTGTCCCCCCACTTTTACTGCAGTGGGTCAAGACTGACCAGGCCCTACTCATGCTGTTCAGTGATGGCACTGTCCAGGTAAGAGCTCCTCTTGGAGTTGGGGGATGGAGGTCCGGGAGGCCCAGCACGGGGGGAGGAAACTGGACCTGGGGCCTATGCCCTCATCAGTGGCACCTTCCTGTGCACAGGTGAACTTCTATGGAGACCACACCAAGCTAATCCTCAGTGGCTGGGAGCCCCTCCTTGTGACTTTTGTTGCCCGCAATCGGAGCGCTTGTACTTACCTCGCATCCCACCTTCGGCAGCTGGGCTGTTCCCTAGACCTGCGGCAGCGACTCCGCTATGCTCTGCACCTGCTCCGGGACCGCTGCTCAGCCTAGGCCCAAGCCTGCAGAGCAGGCTGTGACCCAAGCTCTCAGGCCTGAGGTCTGTGCCTGGAAGGCTCTGGCCGTGCCTCTGTGGCCCTCCCTGTCCCTTTGGTGCCAGACTGGGGGCTCTGGGTCTAATACCCCAGGGAATCAGGGACCAGCTTTACTGGGGTTGGAGGCTGCCTGTCACAGCTGCCTCCTACCCCTTCTCCAAGAAAAGCCTGAGCCTTAGTCCCCAGCTAGGGGGCGTTATTTATGGACCACTTTTATTTATTGACAGACATTTATTTATTGGGATATGCACCCTAGGGAGGGCCTCCTCCTGGGATAATAAACCGTTTTTGCAGAACTTGATGCTTCCTCACTCATAGTAGAGCCCATGGACCGTGGCCACTGCAAAGAGTGAGGCGTTGGTGAAGGTGGCAGAGGCCAGGCCATCATGTGCTGCGTCCCAGAGCGAGCGGCTGACCACGTGCACACCCTGGCCGGTGCGCTGCCCCAGCACGACGCTGCACACCAGCTTGTAGCGCGGCGGGCTGAGCTCTCTCAGGCGGTTGTGCACCAGTTCGCACAGCTCACGAGCCAGCAGCCCGGCCTTGGTGTCAGAGTAGCATGTGTCTCGCAGTCCCACGGCCAGCGCCTCCTCCAGGGCACGTTGTGCTTGCGTGGCCTCCCAGCGCTCCCCGGGCGCTGGCTCAGTGCGATATGAGGGCGCCATCCTCCGGGGAAGTGCCAGGGGCAACCCCAAGAAGCTGACCCGTGAGCCTAAAGGAGGCACTGAGCCCAAGGATGGTCGCCGACCCCCAAGACCCATGCCTGGTCCAGCCAGCGAGTTGCGGCGGGAAAAGGAGGCGGCCAGACCGAGCATGGAGCCACGGCGGGAGGCTGGGCCCAGGCCTGCTGGTCGGGCCTCATCAATGCTGGGCAGGTGGCCTGGAGCCCGCACCAGTGACAGTTTCAACCCGAGGTCTTTGGCTGTCTCCTCCTCCTGGCGTCCCGGGGGCACAGGCCTGCCAGTCATCGACCTGCTGGCTGAAGACCCACACTGGGATTGGGTGGCTTTCACTTGTCATCTTTGAGTACCACCCAGTTGCTTACTCAGTAACAAGGGTGTTCACCCTCTAACTCCTTCTTACCTGTGTTTTTGAGATGGGTAAATCAAACAGTCCGGGGCTGAGTGGAGTCCCAGGTGCTTAGAGGGTTAAGGGCTGTTCGGGACACAAGCAAGAAGAGATGCTGCTTAGACTATCATCTTGGGCTAGTCCCTGTGCCCTGAGCTCCACTTTACCCTGGGTGCTGTAGAGGTTAGCTAATTAAGCTCCTTTTCTCCCTTCTGCCTGACTGCCAACAGAAGGGTAGACTGCCTTGTGCTTCAGCTTAAACAGTGGTGCTGCCAACCCCTAACCAGAAGGAGGGACAGACAGACCCAACTCCAACCCCACAGGTCCTTCTTGCCCTGTGGGTACTGAATGTGGACGCCTCACACCCCTACCTGTGCCTACATTGGTGGAAACCAACTTCTCTCCACAGCTGGCTGAGGCTGGAGGCAGATGACTCAGGAAGCTCCTTCCACCCTGTGCACTTGGCCTCTGGCCCTACCTCCAGAGTCAGTTCTGGGATGGCCGCCTTCTTCTCCCGAAACTCCCGCAGGCACCCTGAGTCACCTGCAGCCGTCGGCCTCCGGCTCTCGCAGCCTGGCTGGCCTGACCAGCAGGCGGGAGAATAAGGGCCCCTCGCCTGTGTTGTGGGGTTGCCAGGCAAGCACGCCTACCTCCCTAGGCCCCTCCCTGTGTCCTGGCTCTGGCTTAACCTGGGAGTGTTACTTCTGGGAGCACGTGCTGAGTGCGGGGTGCCTGAGTCATCAGGGGAAAGGGGACAACGGAGGTTTAGAGCCCAGGAACAGTGTCTACCATGACAAAGACACCTGAGGGAGCAGACATAGAACAGGCTCTGATCAGAAAGGTGTCCCCACTCCAGGGTTTTTAAGCCACTGTCCATTTCTCCCCATGAGAAGAATGGCTCTTCACTCTTCGCTTGAGCGTAAGTGCGAGGCCTGAGAGATGGGGAGACTTGAGGCCATGGGGGTGGCTGCTCAGGAATCAGGATCTGGGCCCACAGGAAGGAGCACATGGGGGCTCTCCAAGACTCCATCGGCTCTCCTTCAGTCTAAACAAGAACAAACATTTCCGCTCCCGGAGCCGAGCTAGGGTGGAGCTTGGCTGACTTCCTGAACTCAAGGCTGCCTTAGCACGGGGAGGGGGGTGGGGGGGCTGCGCTCTGCTCCACCAGGCTTCCAGGCTCCTGACTCCTGTGACCCAAGTACTCTGGGGCTTGTCCGCAACTTGTCACCTCTTGTGTCGCATCTCAGGGATGCCAGTGGCCATGACTCCTTTGTCAGAGGGTGACATCTCCTCACCTGAACCCTCTCTGGGAGAGACAGGACTGTCCCCTCCCAAATAAGCCCTGTCTGGGCCCTGAAAACTGTCCAGGGCTTTCCCTGGGTAATGGCCTCCTGCCTGTCTTGTGAAGTTGTCACGGGTTGCTGGGTGAGCACTCCTTTCCTGTCCCCTCCCTTGTGGAGGGGGTTTTCCCAGACCCAGCAAACCTGATCCTAACCCTGTGAGCATATGGGTGGAGGGACAGGAGGAGCAGGGAGTTTGAACTCTGAGCCCAGGAGAGGCAAGGGCCAGGTTGCTAAAACCCTCCGACTCTGCTTAGGCCCCTTCTGAGGTCTGAAGTTTTCTCTAGGCCTGTGGGAGTTGGGCGTGGCCTCCTCAGGCCAGGCTCCAGTTTCCTTGGAAACCCACAGGCTTCCCACCCTAGCAGTGCCTGGGCAGGCTCCCAGCTGGGGCCTCATTTGCAGCTAGCCTCTCCTCCCCGTCTAGTCAGCTCCACCTCAGCCTCTCTCGGTCCCCTCCTTGAGGCCCCATCCCCAAGCCCAGCCCCTGGTCTCCTCCACCAGCCTCTAATGCCTTCTTCAGGAACCTGGGAGTCTCCTGCCCCATCCCTAAACAGCTTCACTACAAACAGGCCTCCCAAGCTCCTGCCCCTCCCTCTCAGGCCTTTCCAGTCTCCTTGCCAACTGTGAGGCCTGGACTGGCCTCCAGTTCCTTCCCACCTGCCTCCTGCCACGTACCAACGACCACAGGCATACTAGGCTACTCCACCCACCTACTCCCCTGCCCCACCCCATCCATGGAGACCCAAGGACTGGTTGTGCATGGGGAGGCTGAGCCCTTTTCCACAGCACTCCGAAGCCTCGTCAACAACCGCCTATACAGGTGAGGGGGTTGGCGCTGACTATGGGTTTTCGATAGCTGGCCCCAGGAATGAGGAAGCCCTGGGTACAGAAGAGGAAGCCCTGGGTACAGAAGTTGACCTTGCTGAACTCAGAGTCCGTGACATCCTGAGAGCCAGGGGTTGAGGGCAGTGGGGGCTGCAGTCCAGTGACGGTGTGACCTCAGGCAAAGGCTTTCCGTTTTTTGGATCTTGGGCTCCTGGCAGAGAAGAGCCCTCCACCCCCTGGATCCTGAGAGATGGGATGTAACTTGAGTCCCGCCCTGGGGAGCCAGAGGAGCAGATGACCCTGCTCTGGGAACTGGGGATTCACAAGAGGAACAACGCTTAAGGGACTTAACCAACCTCAGACAGGGTGGAGGTGGTTCAAGGGTGCGCCTAGGGCTCACCGTCTGCCTAGGATGCAAGTGGTGTCTGATACCGGGGGTAGAGTATGGGAACAGAACTGGCAGGGAGAACTAGAGTGCAGCTTTCCGTCCTCGTGGCTCAGAGCTGGGCTCCTCTGCCAGGGCTGGCGACTCCCATAACCCTGCTGCTTTGGGGATGGCAGTCTGGTCTGAGTAGCGGGAACCCCAGGCCTTGGGTCGGGGACTAGGAGGCTCCAGAAAGTCAAGCTTCGTCTCCTGCCTCCTACTCACTGTGTTATCAGAAGCCTAGAGGCTAGGGCCGGAAGTGATCATGAAGATGGAAAATGTGGTCTGGCCTCTTGACGGTGCATTACTGCCACGTCTGTTTGCAGCCGATGCACTCTGTACCCCCATCCTCCCACCCCCTCCTGCCTGGAGGGACTGAAAAAGCTGAGTTTGCAGTCTGTGGAGGAGGAGCCAAGAAGAACTTCCCTCCCCCAGGACTCAGGCTGGGGAGGAGAGGGGCATGTGGGATGAATCTTGCATCAGCCCTGGTGTGCCCTCAGTGATCAAGCACAGCCACTTCCTCCGAGACTTAAGGGTTTGGGATTACCACCCAGTTTCATGGGGGAGAGACCCGAGATTCAAAGGCAGAAAGTCACTTGCCCTCGGTACGATAGAATGGAGCTGGGACTAGAACCTAGGCTTGTGTGTCCCCGACCTTCGGCTCGAAGGACTAAGCCCTGTCTCTCATATGACAGACAAGGAAACAAGGGCCCAGAATGGGTGAATGCAAAGCGCGGAGTTGCACCCTGGACTCCGGCCTCTTCTCCCTGGCTCTCTGCCCTTCTCTCCCACAGTGATGTTCGCTTTGTGGTCGGTCGAGAACGGCAGGAGGTGTTTGCCCACCGGTGCTTGTTGGCCTGTAGATGCAATTTTTTCCAGCGACTTCTGGGCCCAGAGCCAGGTCCTGGGGTGCCCAGCCCTGTGGTGCTAAGCACCGTACCAGCTGAGGCCTTCCTGGCAGTGCTGGAGTTCTTGTACACCAACAGTGTCAAGCTGCACCGCCATTCCGTAAGCCCGTTGGGCAGGGATGTGAGAGGGAGGGGTGGGCTGAGGGGTGGGCAAAACTCCCACTCCAACCACCTATTTTGCAGGTGCTGGAGGTGCTGACAGCGGCTGTGGAGTACGGGCTGGAGGAACTGAGAGAGGTGGGTTTGCGTGGTAGGCCCCTGCCTCAGTTCCTCCATTTCCCTTGCCTCTTATGGGCTCAGTTCATACCCTGCCTCACACCTATTCTGTCCTGGAGAAGAACATGTACCAATACAAGGAGAAGTACAGATATCTCTCTCTGTAAATAGGCATTTGTGTGTGCCTGTGTGCAAAAGGACATGTGCAGGCCTTGTGTGTGCTGTGAGGGCATAAGATATGTTCATGGCTGGGGCTGTAGACACCAAGATACCATTGATCCTCATTCTTCACAGAGAGATAGACACAGGAAAATGCTCCTGTGCGGGGGGCTGGGCTACACGGCGTCTTCAGTCTCCAGATTGACCTCCTTGAACCCAGTGGCGTAAGATGTGTGATAGATGAGGGTAAGTGGTGCTGAGACTCTACAGAGGGTCTCTCTCTCTCTCTAGTCTCACCACCAGGGAGAGAGGAGAGCAAGACTTCCTGGAGAAGGAAACATTTGTGTTGGATCAGGTAGAATGGGTAGGAGTTTGTTCAGAGGGGAAGTGGAAAGATGGCATTCTAGTCACAGAGGGACAAAAGGAGCTGGTGAGACCTTTAGTGTGGCTGGACTAAGACTGTGAGAGGAGGCAAGGGAGCGATGAGACTGGCGAGGGTGCCAGGGGCTGGTTCATGCAGGACTTTTGAAATTTGGACTTCTTCTACCCACAGGGTAGTGGAGATTCATTGGAAGTTTCCAGTAAGGGAGTGAGGGTTTGGACACTAAGGGGAAAGGGGACTGGGAGAGATGGGAAAGACCCGCCAGTCCTATAGGAATGGCGGTGGCAGCGGAAGCCCAGCGAAGCGCTTCATGGCTTTGCAGGAAGTGGAACGGGCATGACCCAGTGCGCTTCTGGGTGTGAGGGTGAGAGGATGCTGTCATGGATGAAACTCAAATTTCTAGTTGTGTTTTTGAGTGTCTTTAAGTCAGGAGAGGGGACAAGCAGAGGAAGCTAAGTGTCCCGAGTGAGAGGGAAAGTTTTGCATGGCTCTTATTTAGTCTGATTAGTGGTGAGTGTGCTAGAAGGTAGGCTGCCGGGCTTGGCTTGCCAAGACTGAGGGTCTGGTGGCTGCCTGTCTCCCCTGACCTGGGGCTGCTAGAAGCCTAGGTGGCTGACTGCTCCAAGCCTGCTCACTGCTTCTAGGGTGGAGTTGGGTCTGAGAATAAGGATACCTCAGCACAGCTCAGAATCGCTTCTGTTCCCAGATATGCCTGGAGTTTGTGGTTAAGGTGCTGGATGTGGAGCTGGTTTGCGAGGCCCTGCAGGTGGGTGTTGCTGGACGTGGCAGGTAGTCCCCAGTGCCTAGGGCTGGGCAGCATGGCCTCTCCTGTCCAACTTGATCTCCCTCATTTTGCTCCAGGTGGCTGTAACCTTTGGCCTGGGACCATTGCAGGAGCGTTGCATAGCCTTCATAGAGGCTCACAGCCAGGTACAGCTCCTCATTTTTGTACTCACAATCCCGCACACCTCATTCTGCTCCTCCCTGACCCATTCTTGGGCCCACAGGAGGCGCTTCGGACTCGCGGCTTCCTGGAGCTGTCAGCGTCCGCGTTGCTGCCCCTACTGCGCAGTGACAAGCTTTGTATGGACGAGGCTGATCTCATCCTGGCGGCCCGGAGTTGGGCGCGCGTGGGCGCGGTGAGCGGGACGAAGGGGAACTCGGGCTGAGGGTGCTGAAGGATCCGGCTGCAGGAAGCCGGCGAGTGGGCGGCGGGCAGCAGGCCAGGTGCCCCTGCTTGCCCAAGTCTCAGGGCTGGTGTTCACAGGCGGTGCTGGAGAGGCCCGTGGCCGAAGTAGCGGCCCCGATTGTGCGGGAGTTGAGACTGGCCCTGCTGGCACCGGCGGAGCTGAGCGCCCTGGAGGAGCAAAACCGGCGGGAGCCGCTCATCCCGGTGCGGACGTGAGGATCCAGGCTCAGATCTACTCAGCAGCATGGGGGAAAGGCGCGCGGGGGAGGGCGCCCCACAGTTGTGGGATGAGGCGGGTGGGGGCACTGGGGGACTCTATGGTGACCGGCTTTCCCCTGCAGGTGGAGCAGATCGTGGAAGCGTGGAAATGCCACGCTATGCGGAGAAGGGATGCGGCCCGAGGTGCCTCGTGCCGCCGCCGGAGGGGCACCCTGCCCCGGGAGCACCATCGCTTTCTGGACCTGCCCTTTAAGTGACCAAAGGCCAGGTCTTGCGAGGAAGTCTGGGCCTGTCTAAAACTACATCTCCCGACGTGCTCTGTCTTCGGAGCGGGCTTCCGTTCCCAGCATGCTGGGCGAGCGAGGCGCGGGAACGCCAGGCGCAGCGCTGTGTGGGTGGGGCCGAGGAGGAGGGGAGGGCGTGGCCTTGGCTTGGGCCTAACCTCCCGGCCTCGCTGAAAACCGAAGTAGTTTTCACTCGCACTCAACACTCGGTAGCGGGGCACTCTCGCCCGCCCCGTGTATTCTTATAACCATCTCATAGCTTTTCAGCTCAGCCCCTTCTATAATTTCACAGCTGCTCCGGAGATCGCGTTCTAAATGCCCCACGGAACCTCAGACTCGGTTCCAAATTGAGCTTCCTCTTCGTTCCCCAGTTCTGACCCCATGGTGTTGCTCATTTCCGTGGGTGCCCAAGCCAAGAAACCTAGATTTCATCCTGGCCTTATTCCTCGTCGCATCTGCTTCCCGTGTCCTCTACCGTCTAAGAAGGCTAGCCGAATATGCCAAGCCAAAACAAGCCGTTTTTGGTCTAAGGGTTATTTTAAGATGATTAGTTTGAGAAACAGGAGAAGCTCTGAAAATAGAGTACAAGTTACCCTTTTGTAAGGGAAATTTATATTTATAAAGGAAATCTCCGTTTGTAAGGCCGCCTCCCTCCCTCTTTGTGCCAGGAGAAGGATGAGGAACTCAGAATCATCTGTGGAGAGAAGCACCACTGAAATCTGCCTGACGAGCGTTACCCTTGTCTGCTGTGCTTTCTCTGGTTGGTGGCCCCGCACTTCTCTTGCTTTTGTCTTTAGCTGAGGATGGTATTTAAGCGGACATTTTAGGCCACTTTAGGGAGTTCTTAATTTTTTCCTGGGTATCTCCCATGTATACATGAAGTATACATGTTAATAAACTTCTGTTTTTCTCATTTGTTTTTTTATTTTATCATTTTTTTATTTTATTATTATTATTTTTTATTACAGGGATCTCAGCCAAGAGAAGAGCTTGGGGTAGAGGAACAATTATGTTTTCCTTCTTTACAAGATTTTTACAGCTGGTTCACCTCTTCCAGCCCCAGTTCTGTCAGTACTGTCCGTGGCAGGAATTACTACAAGGTTCTCATTATTCTCCCCCGCTTCATTCCAGCGCCCACCGCTCACCCCCCAACCATTTCCTACACTGTGGCTAGACTTAGCTGATAATACCAGTCTTCCTCCCTTTACTAAGTCTCCTAACGTCCCCATGGCCCTAATGACAAAATATAATCTATTTCACTTTCAGGGTGCTCAAAGTTTACTAGTGGCTGCAAATAGTAGCTTTTTTTCCCGTGAATTCATTGGTCCTGAAGGCACTAGTGCTCTGGGTCTGGATTTACTCTTCTGGTGACTGGAGACTCCCGTGCTACAGCTCCCAGTCATTGCACACCTTGTCCTCCTGAGGATCCGAGTCTCCCGGGAGAAAGGTCCCTGGAGGGGGTCCTTATTAGTTTTTGCTCAGTGACTGTCACTTAAAGTGCTCTGTAAGTGTTCATTTATGACTTTTTTTCTTATTTAAATGCTATTTTATTTCCTAAGGAGTTCAAAGGGCACAGAAACAGGGACAGGGCTTGCTCAAGGGAAAGATAAGCCTTTTACTAAAGAAGTCAATAGGCCTGGGGCATGAGCACCCACCGTGACTGGCCAGTTAGGGTTTTATGATCAGGTCACCCTGTGAGGTTAGTTTCAGTTAGATTTGTTATGCTGCCCCCTTTTTGCCCCCAATCCCTTTTGCTAAAAGTAAAGGTAGTGTTGGAGAGGAAAAAAGTTTCCTTTGCCCTTTTTAGGGTTCCTGGGTGGATCTGAAATTAAACAGACAAGGACATTAAGGGGAGAAAAAGCATATATATTTACTAAAGTTTTACACGGCATGGGAACTGAAGACTGGAAGAAAAGGTTAAACGTGAGTATTTTTATGCTAGGTTTGGTGAAGAGTGGACAGTTGCAGAGAACTATGACGGGTCAAAGAGTATGAGGTGAGTGTAACTGGTTAGGGTTCTTTTTGGAGTCCTTTTGTCTTTGGAGATCAGGACGACACCTTCTCTCCGGGTATGGGAAAGACTCCTCTCACCTGAGGATTTCATGCCCTATTGTTAGGGAGAAGGGAGTGGGGTGGGGTGGGGGTGTTCTCAAACAGTGAGTGGGGTCCTGCTGCCCGCAGACGCCCTCTAAGTGAAATTCTAGAGGCATCGTTTTGGTGATAAAGGAAAGGAGTCTTTATTCAAAAGCTTCACAATTTTGGATAACAGCTTTCCACATATGTTACTCATTTAAGCCTATGGATTAACACTAAACTCTTTAACTTTTTTTATGTTAAAAATTTTTTTTTAATATTTTCTTTTTTTTCCCTTTAAACATTAATGTGTGGGAGATACATCAATAGTTTGCCTCTTGCACACCCCCAACTGAGGACCTGGCCCAAAACCCAGGCATGTTCTCTGACTGGGAATTGAACTGGTAATCCTTTGGCTCATAAGCTGGCACTCAATCCACTGAGCCATACCAGCCAGGGCTGTTTTATTTCTTTTTAAAGATTTTATTTATTTGTGGTGTCAGGATGGCTGAGTGGTCTAAGGTGCTAGACTCAAGATTTTATTTATTTTTAGACAGAGGGGAAAGGAGGGAGAGAAACATCAGTGTGTGGTTGCCTCTCACATGCCCCCACTGGGGACCTGGCACACAACCCAGGCATGTGCCCTGACTGGGAATTGAACTGGCGACTGTTTGGTTCACAGGCCGGCACTCAATCCACTGAGCCACACCAGCCAGGGTTAAACTCTTCAACTGTTTCGTTACAACTTTAATCACATAAGCCTGTCAATTAAGGCTAAACTCTTTAACACCTAAATTCTATCATTTCCCCCTGTAAGTTTTAATTATCTTATTTCCAGAGGGTTAGTTTAAGAACTAAAACAACATAAGCTACAAAAGCTATACAATTTTGGAAGAATGGCAGGCTTCTGCCTCAGAGCTTGTCCCTTCTAGAACACCCAAGGGAGAATAACCCTGCCTCTGCCAGGCCAGCTCCTTCCTAGGCTGTGCCCCGAGTTTCTTTTCCTCTAAAATACCACCCAATGGGAAACACAGGCAGTGGCAGCAGGATCACCCAGGCATACTGGAGAGAGAGAGCCAGAGGGCCATGGGGCCAGGGAGCCAGGAAGCCAGGAAACCAGCAAACCAGCCTCTGCCCTGCTTTTTTCCATGCACCCTGGAAACATTCAGCTTCTCAGCCAATCCTGTCCTACCTAGACTGTTTACCATTGCCTCAGCAAACTCCTCCTAAGGTCCCTCCCTGTTCCTCTCCAGTGATCTGATTATATCTCTCTGTCTCACAGATAGGGTGGGGTGGGGTGGGGTGGTAGGGTGGGGTGGGGTGTAGTGGGGAGGTCAAAGTGATTTTCCTGTTTTCTCAAATTCCTTCAGTTTAAAATATTCAATATGCCAAAGTGCCAATCTTTAAAAAAAAAAAAAAGGTTTCATTTACTTTTAGAGGGGAAGGTAGGGAGAAAGAGAGGGAGAGAAACATCAATCTGTAAGAGATACATCGACGGGTTGCCACTTATAATCCCCCAACTAGAGACCTGGTCTGCAACCCAGGCATGTGCCCTGACTGGGAATTGAACTGGTGACTTTTCAGTTCACTGGCCAGTGCTCAGTCCACTAAACTACACCAGCCAAGGCCAGATTTGCATTTAAAAATGAATATGACTGTGCTCTGGCTGGTGTGGTTCAGTGGGTTGAGTGTCAGCTTGCGAACCCAACAGATCCATGTTTTTTTTTCTTCTCACATCAATGTTTCTCTCCCTCTCTCTGAAACAAATAAATGAATCTTGAAAAATAAAAAACAAATATAAAAATATGTAAATAAGTGAAAATGTTAAAAAAATAGTTTGGCAGAGGACTGGGAAGGACAGAGGGGGAAGGTCAGTCGGGTGGGGAGAACAGTTGAAAGAGAACAGTGTCAGGAGCCTATTGCGTGAACCCGCCAACAGAGCTCTTGGACTGCGGGGGTAAGAGTGGAGGAGGTAAAATGTATGAAGCAAAAAATGTGGGAGTTAGAGGGACTGGCAGATTTCTGCATGACTCAGAGGTCACCAGCTCTGAGACCTCAAAGTGTTTACAGCGTCCTGAAATAGTGTATAGATCAACAGCGTCAAACTCACTAAACTCACTTTCAGCCCCGGGGCCACATCAGCCTACCAGTTGCCTTGTATTTAGCAATCATGCAAGAGGCCAGTACAGAATACTGGGTAAAACAAAGTGCCATGAAGAATAAAAGGATGTGGAAAGCCAGGTTCAGCTTAGAGATCTTAAATTTGTCCTCTATGGTATAAGTGGGTTGAGCAAGTAATTCTTAGGATCTCTGCTATCTATCAGTGGCTGTAAAAATAACTTATTTAAGAAAACTAACATCTGTTTTTTAACTTCTACAAACTAGCCTCGTAAAACACAAGGCCTCAAAAAACTACTTCAAAACTCAGAATTGTTCCTCTCCACGGAAATCTTTAGTAAAAGGCGAAAGATTTATACGATCTGAAGAGAAACCAGAGTATGCCTTTCCGTTTGGGCTCGGAACCTGCCAGAGCGAGCCAACCCCAGCACACTTACGGCTGTTAGTGCCTGCGAGGTGCGCGCTCCCGGCCTCCTGTTTGAATGGACCACACGCTTCCAATAGCCAGTGTGCCCTGCAACAGTGGACAGATTCCCGTGGGGCTGGAACCCAAGCGCCGTGAACTGTTTCCGTGGTGCACCACGGGTATGCAAATCGCAGGCGGCTCCGGGCCGGTCTGTGACACCAGCTGCCCCCGCCGGGTGGCGCCGTGGGGACCCTGGGGCTACAGATCTCCCTCTCTTCTCTGCCGGTCCACCCGGGAACCCGTGCCCGGTTTGCCTGGAGAGGAAGGGCTTTTCTGTCATTGTTGGGGGCCGGGTACCTTGGGAGGGTGGGGTTAAGTCCCAATCTTTGAGGTTTGGTGCTGTTCTTCCATAACCGCAGGCGCTCCACAGTTCCAGGGACAGAAGTAGAGAGTGTCCAGCACCGCCAATCAGGGACCGAGGGATCACGTAGGCGGCATATCACCCCGCCCCCAAGGGGGTGGCATCAACTTTATTTATTTATTTATTTTAATAAAAAATTTTATTTATTTACCTCTAGAGAGAGGGGAAGGGAGGGAGAAAAACATCAGCGTGTGAGTGGTACATCAGTTAGTTGCCTCTCACACATCCCAAACACCCCAGCCTGGAACCTGGCCCACAACCCAGGCTCGTTCCCTGACTGGGAATTGAACTGGCAACCTTTCAATTCATAGGGCACCACTCAGTCCACTGAGCCACACCAGCCAGGACAGCATTCAGTTTATCTTGAAGGATAGTTCAGTCTAGGGGAGATGAAACAGTTTTCTAGCAGAGAGAATAGCAGAAGAGAAACTATGAGAGGTAAACAGTGAAAGTAATTCTTGTGCACAATGTGGCTTGTCAGGCAGGGCTCTGACACAGAGAGAGATGGGGTGAGAGCAGAGAACAAGTGGAGCTGGGCCTCGGCTTGGATTTTATCTTGTTAGTGATGGGCCGGGGTGAGAAGGTGTGGAAGTCAGCAGGCTGAGTTGCACAAGGTGCCACACAGGGTACGCTGCCTCACAGGCAGTGGGACTTGTTGTCCCAGAGACTGGTTGTGGTCAGTGCCCCAGAACTGACCATTCCTGGGGCGGTCGAGCTCCAACTGGCTGGAATCCCTTCAGCTGCTGCCATACCAGGACACACCCTTCATCCCATGTTTCAGGGTTTTCTCCCTAAGCATGCAATCAGAGCAAAAAACTTTCAACAAAGTTAACATCTACACAAACTACAAAAATAGAGAGCACTGCCCTGGTCAGTGTGGCTTAGCTGGTTAGAGTGTCTTCCCATGCACTGAAGGTCGCAGGTTTGATTCCTGGTCAGGGCACACGCCTAGGGTTCCACCACAGTCGGTGCATGTTGGTTGCTGTGCATTCTGGAGGCAACCAGTTGATTGGCATTTCTCTCTCTCTCTCTGAAACCAATAAATGTGTCCTCAGGTAAGGATTAAGGTTTGTTTTTTTTTTTTAAGATTTT